ACACACACACACACACACACACACGCTTTAAGAAATCGAAGCACATTAGCTGTTACCTAAGACAAATGTTTTAGGTCAACTGTGATGCATGTTAACTGTCATCCTTGTTTGTAGCTATCAGACACATTTAAATATTTGATAAACTGCAGGAGAGGTCAGCACACTTTCTACAAAGGCCCAGACAGTAAGTATTTTAGACTTTGTGGGTCTCTAAAATATTTTTCTTAGCCTGCTGGCTATATAAATAGAGGCTTTGGACAAAATTTAGCCCTAAGCCATAGCTGCCAACCCCTAAACTACACAGCCTAAGGCATAGTAATTACAGAATGTTACAGCTAAGAGAGGCCTCACATCTAACCCAACCTAATCTCTTCATTTTAGGGATACTAAGCACAGGTCCTGAGGTATTTAATGACTCACTAGTCACAAAGCTAATCTGTTAGCCCACTCCCTCTGCATACAGCCAGTAGTTCCACTCCTAGGTGAGGAGAACTGAAAACACGTCCACACACAAATTTGTACATGAATGTACACAGCAGCGCTGTTCCTAATAGCCCGAAAATGGAACAAGCCAAATGTCCATCAGCTGAGTGGGTACACAACGGATGTGTGTCCACAGGATGCATACTGTTGAGATGTGAGATGTTATGAAGGACTGATGCGTGCCATACCATGAGTGAACCCTGGGACCTTCTGCCCAGTGGAAGAAGTCAGGCACTGAAGGCCACATACACGTTTCCATTTATGTGAGATGTCCAGAATAGGCCAAGCCCACGAGACAGAAGTAGATTAGTGGTTGGCAGGGCCTGGGGGCAGAGAAATGAAGAGAGACTGCTACTGGGTGTGAGGTTTCCTGCTGGGTGGATGAACATGCTCTGGAGGTAGACAGTGGTGATGGCTGCAAACTGTTTTAAGCTACAACCACTCAATTGTACCCATTACAAAGGTGAGCATTATGGCATTATGGCATGTGACTCACATCCCAAGAGAGCTGGTACCAGGAAAAAGAGAACCGGACGTTTCCTAAGAAGTTCTATGTAAAGCACAAAACGAGATGGTGGACAGCTTATGCTAGATCATCAGGCGGAAAGTTATTTCCCAAACTGCATGTTTCAGGTGGTCTATAGAGCATGACGTTAGCAACAGGCTTTCCTCTACAACTTGAAATGATGAGCACTCACACACCCTTTCTCACTCGATAGATCGTCTGCTTGCAGGAGACACCGTCTCCCCTGGGTGTGGTGGTGCCTGGCACAGCAGGTGCCCAGCCACATTCACTAAACGCACCCGACTAGCTGCAGTCTGAGGGAGAAAAGTGTTTATCAACTGACTATAAGCTGAACACTTGGCTTTTTTGTTTTTCATAAGGTAAAACAGATTTATTTCTTGCTTCCTGCTCCAAAGCAGAAGAGGAGAAAACAAAAACACCTATGACTTTCTCTGTGCCATTTATTTTCATCTGAAAACCAAACTCAGTGCCATCGAGTTGATTCTGACTCACAGCAACGCCCACTGGGTTTCGGAGGCAGTGTATCTTTATGGAAGTCGATTGCCCAGTCTTCCTTCTTTGGAGTGGCTAAGGGGTTGGAACCACCAACCTTCTGGTTCGCAGTCAGATGCCTTACGCACTGCACCACCCAAGCTCCTTATTTCAATCTAAGCCTCCCTGGACTCAGGAGTGCCTGGTGGTGCTCCTGCCAGCTGGAATACAGTGTCCCTCAGGTGACACGGTGCCTGGGAGGTCCTGCCCCAGATCATTAGCCTTTCATCCTCACGAGTGTGATCAGTTACCCTCGAAACTGTGACTGCTTCTTAGCAAAATACCAAGGACTGATGGTGTGGGAACTGCTGAATCAGCCCAGGAAGCGAAGCGAGGATGCTAAGTTCATGTTGTTGTTGTTGTTGTGTGCCGTCGAGTCGTCCCCGACTCATAGCGACCCCTCCTTGGGTTTCCGAGGCAGTATCACTACGGAAGTAGGATTGCCCAACCTTCCTTCCGAGGAGTGGCTGGTGGGTTTGAACCGCCAGCCTTCTGGTGAGCAGTCAAGTGCCTTAGGCACTATGCTACCAGAGCTCCTAAGTTCATAGAGCAAGCCAATAAAGCAGCACTTCGCGACACAAAGGAAGGAGCAGAGAGAGAGAAATTCATTTTTTAAATGTGAGAAAAGGCTCATGAAGAAATGGATAAACTGCTCATAAAAGGGAAAACTCAGACTCAAGGAGTAAAGTAACCTCAAACTGTGAAGACAGAAGTCTGATCACCGCTCAGAGCACGCGTGGCTCGGGAGCTATACAAAGCTGCGTCTCCGGGACCCAGCTGGCCGGAACCAGCCACAGCAGGCACACCAGTACCCACTGGGCCAGTCTTCACTCCCAAGCTTCCACTCACAGAAAGGACAACCATTTTACAGGGCCCCCAGCAAATGTCACTTCACCAACTGAAGCCAGCGGTGGCTGCTGTCAGCTCTCAGCTCTCTCCCTGGCTTGGAAAACTCTGACCCCTGCCTTGTGTGCCTGCCCCCAACAGAAGGTCATGAGCAAAATAAAGTACGTAACTTTTGACTACAATGATTTTTTTTTTGCTTTGGTGTTTTGAAATTCCCCTAGAGGTATGTGTGTGTGGAAAGCTGGTTTGTGTTTAGAGAAGAGGAAACACAAGGAAAAGCATGAACTTACATGCAGATGCGCCAACACATGACAGACCACAACTCCCTCCCCTCCAGAGCACCTCAGAAAACAAGGCCCCCACTTTGCACCCCCAGAGTCAATGGAGAAGCAACCACAGCAGAGCTGCTGGGAGGGCAGACGAGGGTGTAAGACACAGATAAGCTTCAAAAAGAAAGAACATTGTTAACCGAGGAAAGTCGCACATGAATGATTCTGTGATAAATGTATCAGGTACTACATAGCGAGAGTCTGCTCGCCTAGTTCTTTAAAAAAAAAAAAAAAGCTTCAAAGGTTCAGAAAATGATCTCCTTTCTGTTAATTTAAGGAAACCTACTCACTCTCAGCAGAAGACCAGCTAACGAGCCAGCCTCTGGACTAGCTAAGACAACCTGCCCGTGTTTCTGCTGTCGTTCTCAGGAGACACGCTTCAGCCCTGCCAGTACCCACCTCCGGGTTCTTGAGGGTCATCTCAATGCTGGCTGCAGGCCCGAATCCCGTGAGGGACTTAATGTGGATCTGTGTGGGCAGAGGCCGCCTGCACTGGCAGTACACAGAAAACGCCATGGACTTCAAGTACTGAACATAGAAGACGTGTTCATCCTTCATTGTCTGCAGCATGTACTGACAAGGCACGATCTAAGACACAAACAGACAAACTCAGAACCAAGCCACACCGTGAGGACCAGCAGCAGGGAGGGAAGGGCTCCGAGCCCCTCCCTGACCCCTCTGCTTTAAGATCAGCACACAGCCAACCCAACGGGCTCCAATCCTGATTCCTCCCAGTGACATCACATCTCGTATTCCAGATGTCACCAGAAATTACCTGTTCCCATCTGAGGACAGAATGCGCAATTAACAGTCATGGTGACCCACAGCTTTACAAACTTGCACTTGAATGTCTTTCTTGTTCTGGTCATGTGTGTGCACTGCACGTGCATCTCTGCATTACAGCCTGCCTGTGTCTCAGTCGTTCCGGTCATGTGTGCACACTGTGTGTGCATCTCTGCATTACAGCCTGCCCGCTTGTGTCTCAGTCGTTCTGGTCATGTAGGCGCACTGCGCATGCATATCTGCATTACAGTCTGTCTGCTTGTGTCTCAGTCGTTCCGGTCATGTGTGTGCACTGAGCGTGCATCTCCGCATTATAGCCTGCTTGTGTCTCAGTCGTTCTGGTCATGTGTGTGCACGGTGCGTGCATCTCCGCATTACAGCCTGCCTGCTTGTGTCTCAGTCGTTCCAGTCATGTGTGTGCACTGCGCGTGCATCTCTGCATTACAGCCTGCCCGCTTGTGTCTCAGTCGTTCCGGTCATGTGTGCACTGTGTGTGCATCTCTGCATTACAGCCTGCCTGTTTGTGCCTCAGCTTCCAAATAATGGAAAACCTTCCTCAGCCAATGGTGAGAACTGGAATTTCCATCTTTTAATTCTGGAAGACAGCTTTCATTAAAGAGACATTAATGAGTAAACACAGAGCCTGAAGCATCCACCTTTTACCTATGAAGTCACACAATACTTCGATGATGCCACCAGAAGCTGGCGATGGTGCAGCAGGAAGGGGAATGCTGACCAGTCACTGAGGAGTGTGGACGAGCAGAGCCCTTCTGGAAAGGGACTGAGCCATGTCCACCAGCGTCTGGGTGCAAGAATCCACTTTACAGGATGAACTGAGATGGCAAGAAGGGAAGCAGACTAAATGCTGGCTGTAAGGGGATGGTAACATGCAGAAAGTATGCAGTCATGAAAAAGAGTGTGTGAAGTAACTTGGAAAGTACTCCTGAATAATGTGAGGAAAAAGGACAACAAATGATGTTGAAAGGAAGATCTCAGCTGTACAAACACACACAGAAAAGGCCAGAAGCCGCCTGGTGATGAAGGCTGAGTCTGGAAGGTACAACTAACAATTTCACCTTTTTATTACCTCCCTGGGCTTCGCCATTGGAACCTTTCATCAACATTCACAAAAACAACAAGAGCCCACTTGCAAACAGTCACCTGGAGGATGAAGGAGTCTCTCATGCGCTCGGGTAAATGATCCAGCATCTCCGTGTAGCAACGCATCAGGCTCAACAACCAAAAGTTCCCGGCAGTGGAGTCCTCCTCCGAGGTGTAGGTGAACGGATCCACCATGTAGATGACTACCGCGGGCGGGTAGGCCTGGCTGTCGGCAGAGTCAGGCTCTGTGGGGACGCCTATCCTCTCCCGTTCTGTGACGCTGTGGGGAGGGGCACTTGTAAGATGCACAAAACAGAAAGTTACACAAAATGCATCAGTCCTGGAGCACTGGCCCCCTGGACGACGAGTACAGATTAAATATAACTCACATTCACACACATTACATTCCCAACAGGAAGGCACACTGAGCCAGTGAGCACCAAGGGCACACGGAAGATGGCAGTGCAGCCTCCATACCAGGAGGTCCCCTTTCTGTAGGTGTACTCTACATAGACCATTTACCACTGTCACCCTAAGTCACAGATTTCCTAAGACCGCAGCTGTTCGGTGACGGGTGTCCTTTTCTTTGGGGAAGAGAAACAGAGCACTTGACTAGATTTAAAGACTAACGAGGTCAAGGGGAAGAACGGAGGGTAATGAGGTCAAGGGGAGGACCAGAGAGGAACGAGGTCAAGAGGAGGACTAGAGACTGATGAAGTCAAGAGGAGGAGGGTGCAGACGTAGAGCAGAGTGGTTTGCACTGAAGTCACTTGCTCTAATCCATGAGGAACGTACCTTTCTTGTCCGTCCTGGGAGGGCTGAGAGGAGCTCTGCCCAGGCTCAGGGTCTCCACCACAGCTGATGTTCCCTTGCATTCTGTCTGCAGAGCTGCTCCCTGTGTTGGGGTTCTGCCCTCCAACACTACCACTGAATCCCGAAGAGGAGGTAGTGCTGATCTGGGTAATACCAGGAGCAGAGGCCGAGGCTGAGGCGTGTGGGGCAGAGGAGCCAGGGGCGGAGCTGCTTGCTGCAGGGTTTGTAGAACTGCCATTGGAGGTGGGGTTAAACGCACTGCCAGCTGGGGGCACTGCTGGTCCTGAATTTGAAGCCAAAGGCCCAGCATTCCCAGGTGTGGCTTGTCCCTGTGCTGCTGCTGGTGGGCTCTGGTATTTAGGTGGCACCAACAGGCTGCTGTCGAGCTGCAGAGTGGCTAAGTAAGGTGCTGAAAGAGTACATCCAAGAGGTGACTTTAGTGATGTCTGTGTGTCAGGCTGAATCAGAAATTCAGAAGTCACTTAAAAAAGTCATGCTTTCAGCCTGCAACACAGTGATTACGTCCCTCCACACACTAGCTTCCCAAGCGTCTATACTGGACAAACACAAGAAGGAACATGGAGCCGGTCAAGAGAAATTCTGGAGATGAGCTTTGCCTGGAGAGAGACAATTCATCATCTGCAATGTTCTCCCCTCAGGCTGATCCCACAGGCCTCCAGTGAGCAAAGTGGCCCCATGGCCTACAGCCATCCACATACATCGTACACCTATGTGGATACGGCTGTATGAACTTCTAAAATTCTCTTGAGGATCTGGGTTAAAATTAAATCATTAATACCAAAAGTCTTGCTGCTAAGTTTCTTTAAAAAAAAAACCAAAACAACCCGTTATCGAGTCCGTTCTGAGTCAAAGCAACCCTTTAAGACAGAGTAGAACTGCCTGCATACAGTTTCTAAGGATTTAAACCTTTACGGCAGCAGACTGCCTCATCATTCTCCCAAAGAATAGCTGGTGGGTTTGAACCACTGACCTTTTGGTTAGCAACTGAATGCCATAAGTACTACTACACCACTAGAGCTCTTTAAGTTTCTAAAAGTGGAGTAAATTAGATAAGACTTCTTTCCAAAAAACTCAATGCTATCGACTCAATTCCAACTCCAGCAACCCTCAGGACAGAGTGGAAGTGTCCCACTGGGTTTCTAAGACGTGATCTTAGTGGAAGAAGACAGCCACGTCTTTATCCTGCACGGGAGCTGGTGGGTTTGAACCTTCAGCCTTTTGGTTGCACCACCAGGGCTCCTTTATGGTTTCTTTAGGCAACTTGAGTTTTTAAAGAATGTATGTCTGCATCATCATCATAATTAACAACTGAGAACAGAAACACTGAACCTACAAAAACAGAGTCATCGACTGCAAACGTGACTGGAGACAAGAGAAACTGGACAGCGTCCACAACAGGGAGGAAAAAAGGAAATAGGCTCTTTTCTTTCCCAAATTCTACCACGACAAGGAAGCTCCCATCCATTTACCTAGGTGATGGCGGCAAACTTGCGCATAAAGTTTGAGTCTGGAGTGATTGTCGCTCTCCTCGCTGCCCCACGGCTGGCTGAGCCATTCGCCCACGGCCTCGTCGGTCAGCTCCTGCGCGGCGGCCTTTCCCACGCGCATGATCCCGTCCCGGAGCGCTTTGCAGATGGGTCTATGCTGGCCAAGCCTGCACATCTAGGGCACAGGCAACAGACATCCTCAGGTTCCGCAGGGCCATTCCATTCACTTAGCAAGGGACAGCCACAAAGGCATTTCCTGTTTCTTTTAGCTTTGTCACAGGCAAAAAACCCAATGCTATAAGCCAGCCCTTTCTGGCAGTTGTAATGTACCCTTGAAAGTGCTCTCTCCCCTAACCTGGGACTCAGTCCTGCGAATACAGAAGCAGCAGGGGTGACCGCACCCAGGCCCATCCTGCCTGCAGGGCGGGTGACCAGGGCACCTGACACTAACAGCAAATAGAGCAGCAGCCTGCCTACTCGGCCGCCAGAGACATTATGTCCACCAATGCTTCTTAGCTAATCCCTCCTCATGACGTTTTCCCATAAGGTAACATCACAGTCTTAAGGGCCATCTGTTTGACTGATGTATACTTTTGGAAATCACCAGTAGCAAGGCTCGCTGAAGCAGGGACTGTGCTTATCATTTTGTAAACTGAACAGCTTTTTAGGACCAGGAGATTTGGTCATTAATCTCCAGAACACTAAAAGGGCATATACCACAGATAATTAAGATAACTGCCCATTCATGAGCAGGGAGGCCACGCCATCACCCCTCAGCAGACCCAGTGAAGGGAAGGCTCCCCAACTCCTCTCAAGCAGGGAGGGATTCCTGCCACACAAGCAGAGCTAGTCCAGTCCTGAAGGGGAAAGACTGGCCACATTGTCTACAGACCTGCAACCCTTTAACGTTTTGTAGCTTATGTTTGTAGCTTCATTCAAAGGAATGGCTAGGCTTTTAAAATTGCATCAACAACTTTTCTGTGTTATGATCATTTAGTATTAGTAGCATTCCATGGACCAGGCACTGTTCAGACATTACAGTGTCCCAGGGTTTCCTTCAGTGGCTCGATTGATAGCACTGCATTATACCTTAGTGTCTCCTCATGAATTCATAGCAACATGTAAGTTTACTAGTTTGATAGTTGAGACTCACTTACAGATAGTGAACCCTCTGTTTTGGAATATTTATTAAATTAAACTCAGCATCTGACTTAATATATACCCTTTTGTGGTATAACATGCCAGTGACAGTCCTAAGTACTTAAAAAAATATTACTTCCATTTAATATTGCCAAATATAAAGATATTAGAAATGTCCAAGAACTGAGTGTGTGTGTACTTCAGCAGAGAAAAGTGGCACAGGTTCTTCCAAGGCAAACCTGATTCTCACTTTCTAAAAAGTAACAAGAAATTAGATACCTACAGGTAAGAGATCACTCAGCTGGTTTATAATTATTATGATAATTAATCTGTAACAAAATTTTACTATTAACATAAATAAAATATTAAATGAAATATCAAAGAAAGACTGTCTGCCATACGCATGATGCTCTTTTAAGAACGATCTACACAGGGTCAAACTGGTAACAGCAACTCAAAAGGTTACATCGGAGCCACAGGCAGTTTAAGTTAACGATGGAAGAACAGCTCAGAAAAGGGGGTCAAACAACTAAAGAACGTGATCGGCGTCGCTGAATGGTACAGTAGAAACTGCTAGACTGGCATATGTTCCGCCTATGTTCTGCGGGTTTTCTCAGCAAGAAAAATAAATGTAAAAAAACCAAGACACGATTCCTTTCAGTTTTATCTGTTGTCGCTGTTAGGTACCCTCAAGTCACTGACGGCTGATAGGGACGTTATGGGTAACGGAACGAGACACTGTCAGGCCCTGTGCCACCCTCTCGATTGGTGCTGCGTCTGAGCCACTGCTGAGGCCGCTGTGTCCATCTATCTTGCTGAGGGTCTTCTCTACTTTACCAAGCATGATGTCCTTCTCCAGGGACTGGTTCTTCCTGGTAACACACCCAAAGTAGAAGACACAAAGATTCACCTCCTCACTTCTAAGGAGCATTCTGGCTGCACTTCCTCCAAGGCAGGTGAGTTCACTCTTCTGGCAGTCCATGGCACACTCAACATCCTTCATCTACACCACAATCCACAGGCATCAATTCTATGGTCCTCCCCACCCACACGGTCCAGCTCTCACATGAGTATGAGGTGAATGAAAACATTGTGACTTGGGTCAAGTGCACCCTAGTTCTGAAAATGCCATCTTTGTTTGTTAACACCCTAAAGAGGTCTTTTGCAGATTTGTCCGATACAATATATCATGTGATTTCTTGACTGCTGCTTCCATGGGTGTTGACTGTGGATCCAAGTAAAATGAAATCCTTGACAACTTCAATATTCTCTCCATTTATCATAATGTTGCTTATTGGTCCAGTTGTGAGGATTTCTGTTTTCTTTATGCTGCAGTCTGATCCACACTTAAGGCTGTAGACCCTGATCTTCACCAGCAAACGCTTCAAGTTATCTTCATTTTCAGCAAGGAAGGTTGTGTCATCTACATACCACAGGTTGTTAATGAGTCTTCCTCCAATCCCAATGCTACACTCCTCTTCACATAGTCTAACTTCTCAGATTATTTGCTCAGCATACAGATTAAGTATGGTGAAAGGATACAACCCTGATGCACACTTTTCCTGATTCTAAACTATACAGTATCCCCTTGTTCTGTTCAAATGACTGCCTCTTGGTCTAAGTACAGATTCCACGTGAGCACAATCACGTGTTCTGGAATTTCCGTTCTTCACCATGTTACCTATAGTTTGTTCTGATCCACGCAGTCGAATGCCTTCTCTAGTCAATAAAACACAGGTAAACATCTTTCTGGTATTCTCTCCTTTCAGCCAAGGTCTATCTGACATTGGCAGTGGTCTCCTGTTCCATGTCCTCTTCTGAACTTGGCTTGGATTTTTTGGCAGTTCCCTGTCAACGTACAGCTGCAACCACTGATATGTTCAGCAAAATGTTACTTGTGTATGATACTAATGATGGTGTTTGATGATCTCCACCTTCTATTGGATCACTTTCTTTGGAATGGGCAACAAGTATGGATCTCGTCTTCCATACTTCTTGGTACAGAAGAGTGAGCACTGCCTGCGTTGCACCCAATGGGTACTGAGATGAGCTGCACTGAGGTAGGTAGTCCGTCAATCCTCGGAGCCTTGTTTTTTGTCAGCATCTTCAGCGTAGCTTGCACTTTTCCCTCAGTACATTTGGTTCTTGTTCGTATTCTATCTTCTGAAAGTGTAGAACACTGACCAGTGCTTTCTGGTGCAGTGACTCTATATTCCTTCCTTCCTTCTTTTGATGCTTCCTGCGTTTTTTAATACTTTGCTCTAGAATCTTTCAATATCATACCTTGGGGCTTTAATTTTTCCTTTAGGACTTTCAGCTTGAGAAATGCCGGGTGTGTTCTTGGAACTCCAGGTCTCTGCACATTTCGCTGTAATACTTCCCCTTGTCTACTCAAGCCACCTCTGAACTCTTCTGTTCCGCTCTCTCGCTTCATCATTTCCCCTCGTGCTTTCTCTTGTGCGACTGTGTGTTTAGGAGCAAGTTTCAGGGTTTCTTCTGGCATCCCTTTTGGCCTTTTCTTTCTTTCCTGTCTTTTTAATGACTTTTTGCTTTATTCGCATATGATGTCCTTTATGTCATCCCATCAACTCAACTTCAGTCACTGGTGTTCAATGTGTCAAATCTATTCTTGAGATGGCCTCTAAATTCAGGTGAGATATACTCAAGGTCAGACTTTGGCTCTTGTGGACTTAATTTTCATCACCTTCAACTTGAACTTGCATATGAGCAACTGACAGTCTATTCTGTACTCGGCCCCTGGTCTTGTTCTGAATGATGATACTAAGCTTGTCCATTGTCTTTTCCCATAAATGTAGTCAATTTCATTCCTGTGTATTCCATCCAGTGAGGTCCATGTGTATAGTTGTCATTTGTTGAAAAAAGGTATTTGGAATGAGTAAGTCATTAGTCTTGAAAAATCCTATCATGAAACCTCGTGCCTCATCTCTATCACCAAGGTTGGATTTTCAAACTAGTGATCCTTCTTTTGTTTCCAACTTTCATATGCCAGCCACCAGTCATTATCAATGCATCCAGATTGCATGTTTGGTCAATTTCAGATGGAAGTTGGTAAACACCTTTGATTTCTCCATCCTTGGCATTAGCAGGTGGTACGTTAATGTGAACAAGTCATATTAACTGCTCTGCCTTGTAAGTGTATGGGGATTATCACCGACAGCGCTGTGCCTCAGGACAGATCTTGAGATATTCTTTGTGATGATGAATGCAATGCCATTCCTCTTCCATTTGTCATTCTCAGCATAGCAGACCATATGGTTCTCCGATTCAGAATGGCCAGTAAGTAGCAGTCCGTTTTAGCTCACTAATGCCAAGTATACCAATCATTATGCATTGCAGTTCATTTCTAACAATTTCCAATTTTCCTAGATTCATACTTCATACATTCCACATTCCAATTACTAATGGATGTCTGCAGCTGTTTCTTCTCCTTTGGGTTCATCAGCAAATGAAGGTCCTGACATCTCCCTCCATCCACGTCATCAAGGTCGACTCTGCTGAGGTGACATCTCTTCCCCAGTCACATCTTGAGTGCTTCCAGTCTGAGGGGCTTGTCTCCTGGCACTGGATCAGACAGGTCCCCTTTATTCAGAAGGTCTTCACTGGCCAGCTTTCTGGGGAGGAGCTCACCAGATCTGTCTTGGTCTGGAAGCTCCTCTGAAACCTGTCCTCCAGGTCACCTCCACGTGACCCTGCCGGGATACGAAATACTGGTGGCATAGCTTCCAGCATCACAGAACACACATGCCACCACATGGGACAAACTGACAGAAGAGTGCTGGCAGTCATCTCCAGACTCAGAAAGTTTCAAGCTAAATGTTTTTCATACCGTTTTCAGGAACTAATCCTTAGCCACCCCCCAACAAAAAAAAAGAGTGTGTGAGTGTAAATAAGCCCTTTCTGTAAAGCTCATCTTCTGAACAGCCACTCCCCGCTACTGAGCAGTACTTTTAAACTGAACACACAAATGGGGAAAAAACAGCCAATGGGATTTGAAAACATGTGGTAAGGCTGGATTAGAGATAAAGTCTTCTAAATCTAATAGCATATAACACCGGGCTGGGAAAGCAATTTACTGGCAGCTTCATCCTACATCTCTGCACATTTTCTTTGGAATACACCTTGAAGATATTTGTTCTTTCCAATGGGGTCGTAACTAGAAACCACTAGAGGATTCGTGTCATGAAATGGATTTTCACAGTCTCGTTCTTACCTCGTATACAGCGCTCAAGTCCCTGAAGAAAGTTTGGGCTCCTTCGAGCAAGGCCTCGTTTTCTGGACACACCACAATATAGGCGACGTCACGGTGGCCCCCGTACGGGTCCAACAACAGCTTCTCCCAGAAGGGCAAGGAGAAGGGCGAGATGGTAAGGAAGTCCTTGTCACAGCCCACCAGCAGCGTGGGGATGGGCAGCGGCTCTGGGGACTCTTCAGAACCTAAACACACACAGCAGGTCAGCAGGGCGCCTGAGGGCCACTTCCCACCACCAGACAATTCACAAGGTCCTGGTGCTCTGGTCTAGGCTCTGGCATCAGAAATTTCACTGCATGTTCGCATGATACTCTTACAAGTATTTTCCAAATGTTCTAATTAAATGGACCTTGATAAATAATCTTAATTAAATGAGTCAGGACAGTATCAGCAGACAGACCAGAACCAATTCCAGTTAGCTCTCCACTGAGCACTGCTTCACGTAAGGTAACTATCATGAGCCTGACATGAAGTAGCAGCCAGAACCAGTACAGGGGTCCATCCCAGAGGCAGTAAGGACCTGGAAGCTGAGGAGAATCTGGTAACTGTGCAGGGAGACTGACTTTGACTCTGCCAAAGGCATTTAGGAAACCTAACTCCACAAGTAACTTTTGAAAAACGGGGAGGTTATAAAGCTTAACTCACTGTTCAAGTTGCTTCAACTCACAGCAACCTTGTTGGACAGAGCAGAACTGTCCCACAGGGTTTCCAAGGCTGTCATCTCTACAGACCCAGACTACCACATCTTCCCACAGAAAGGCTGGTGGGTTTGAACCACTGACCCGGTCTGTGGTTAGCAGCTGATTGATTAACCACTATACCACCTGGGCTCCCTATAAAACTTAACAGGCATGAGAAGAGCAATCGCATTTTGTCAGGGAAGCAAGGAGCTGACGGTAACTAAAGCTACTCCTGAGCGAATGGAAAAGTCGGAAGCAGCCAAAGCAGAGCGCGCTCTACCGTAGGTTCCCCGTCCCGCCATTTTGTGGAACTGCTGCCAGGTGAGCGGCCCCTGCACGTGCTGGATGTTCTCCCAGGTCCGGCCTGTGCGCTTCTTCTGGATGGCGTCTTGGAGGAAGGGCTGCAGGGACAGCAGCATGCGGACCACATCTTGGGAAGACAGCATGCTGCTGTCCAACACTGGAGGAGACAGAAAGCAGCACTCAGCAGGGGCGTCCCGCTTCCTGTTTGCCCCCAAGCTACAGTCTGGGACCAAGATGTTAGCGATTGTGGGGCTGGCTTAGGAGCCGAGGGGAAAGAGACGTCTTCTAAATCAGAGAAGACAAATCACTGTTGAAAATAATAAAAGGGGAAGTGGGTTGCTGTAGAGAAAAGAATTTCACCTTCGTACTGCTTCAGGGTGGGAAAGTGAGTATCTGACTGTTTCAGTCTCAAATAAACCTCTGTCCAGGGTTTTTCGTAAGAAAAGAGCTGCAGAAGTTTCTTAATTACTGCATTACTTTTATTTACAAGTATCAATACTTCGATTATATGAAGAGTGTGGAGTGGGGAGAAGGGAGCTTAAGTAGCAGCTTTAAAAACTTAAGAAGAAAATGCTCTTAATGCAAAATCTTTTCATACAAACACAGAACACCTCAAGAGAAAAAGAACCCACAAGACAGCCAGAGGCTGGAGAAAATGCCCAACGGTGGACCAGGACCGAAAGGCACCTGCGGGGGAGGCAGGTCTCTCTGTGTGAACTCTCTTCCTCTAGGGGTCGCCCTGTGGCTGGGTTCTGAGCTTGAATTTTCAAACTGTGCCTCTGCCATTGTACACGTTTTTTTTTTTTTTTGGTCCGGGGGAAAAGGTTCATGATCTCATGACAGTCTCAGACAGGCCTGAGCAAAGAGCTCACTAGGCTTGAGGCATCTGCTGTAAATCCACACGGCTGGGTTCTCAAGACTGTGCCTTACTTTACTGTCTCATGGATTAGGAAAGGGGGCACTGGATGGAAATTTATCAACTAAGCCAGAAATTCGGTGTGCTTAAGGGTCATTCGTGGATGTCCCCTCAATCGATAAAACACAAGCTGCAAACTGATGGCCCGCAGAATTGTTGGGTGGTGGCTTTTTTTTTTTTACTTTTGCAGGGGAGAGGATGCTGACCAATTGCTCTGGGAAGTTTCATATATAAATCTGGACTTCCAGTTTCTCCTGAAGAACTGGGCAATCCGGCAACCCTGGAGTAGGGACCTGTGTTCCCACACAGGCCACACTGGCTGGAGTTGGGAGCAGCTGCCTCTCAGACCCCCTCCGTGAGCAGGGGGACAAGCACAGTGCCAGTCATGTTCCATCTCCAAGCTTACGTTTTCTAATTCTTAAAGAAGAAAGTAAAATACGCATACCTGTGCCTCTGTTAAAAGTGGAGAATTACAGACGAAGAGGAGCGCAGGTTCAGGAGAGAGAAAAGCTGGCCTGTCTGGGTGGGGGTGAATGCTACTCCCACACTTGCATAGTAGAGAGGGTTGCGTGGTTAAAGGGCACATCCAGCTCTGTACCTCTGAACTGCAGGCCTTTCCTACAGTGAAGTGTACTGCTCTGCACATCCAGAGCTGACACTGACCTCCCCACACGGATGGCTTTGCTGCCTGAAGCTCACAATTAAGTAAAGACGCTACCCCTTGAACCACCCAAACTCGTCTTCCACTGTAATTCATAACCTCATTCAGGAAACAGTAAGTAAAGGCCTGGTAAGCCTAAGGCGCTGTGCGTGAACCTAAGCAGTCATAAAGACGAAAAGACTCTGTCATGCTTCCCAAAGGATCACCACCTCCATGAAGCCTTCTTGCTTGGCTTGGACTCACTCCTTGCTCTACTGGCCTCCGTTTTCTGGACAAAACTTTTTATTATTCAAGGCCCTTGTGTGATCTTTCCCTACAAGCCTGCGAGTGACTGAGAAGCAGGCCCGTGTCCTCTCATGGAGCCGTCTGTCCTGGTCTCTGTGCCTACCACCTGACAGCAACAGCCCTCACTGCAGTCAAAGGCACTGCTCAGCTCCAAATGAAAACCCCACCTGCTCTCTGATGTTGGTGACCACGTCCTCTTTCTTGCCACACAGTACCAATGGCTTCTGAGACCCCCCTCTGGCTCTTCCCGTTTCTCTCCAGGCCCGCACGTGTCAGCGCTCAACCAGCCCCTGCCCTAGGCCTCCTCATCCCTACTCTCCCTCTCAGCAGGCCTGTCTGTGCCCCTGACCACTTACCCTCCATAAGCCAGCTGCTTCCTGCCCTGAGCAACATGGCCATGTAGTCCCAGTGTGTACCTGACCTCTCCTAAAGGATCTATAAAATGTCCACACAACCCACATGACCAAAGCTCAATTTATGAACTTTCTCCCCAGACCTGGTCTTTCTTGCCATCTCTGAATTATCCCGGCACCTATCCAGGTGTACAGGTGACAGGCCCAGAAGTCACCGAAACATTTCACTCTCTCTTGCTGTCCCTGGTGCTCAGTCCCTCACCAAGCCCTGCACCAACACCCCCTCAACATCTCACCAAAGCCTCCACTTCTTTTCTGTCTCACTGTGAGAACCAGGAACCAAGCTACTGTCAACCTGACCTACTGCCATAACCTCCTAGTCTCTCCAAATCTGTTTTCACCTCTCTCTGACCCATAGCTTCTATTACGGACGGGCTACATGACTCCTTTTTAACTACACAAATTGGAGTCACTGCTTCCCCTAAAACCCTTGTTACTGCTCTTTGGATGGAGACCCAATCTGCAGCATTTCTCTAAACACTCTGTAATCTCTGCTGGCCTCTAGCTTCCCTCAATTCCTCAAAGGCCCCAAGCTTTCTGTAACTCGTGCCTCCACACACGCCACTCCTCCCTAGGCCCCAACTCCTTGCTCCCAACCCTCATAACCAGCTGATCAGTTCTCCTCACTGAGGTCTCAGAACAAACCTTACTGCTTCTCCAAGGGAGTCTTCCCTGACCTCCAGATTGGGCGCTTCCCCAGCCCCACACTTCCGTCACTTACAATAGCTACTTCCATAGTGATACCACATCGGAAACCCAAGGAGGGGTTGCTATGAGTCGGGTCCAACTGGACGGCACATAACAACAACAACAGCTGCAATGATACACCTCCTGGTGTGATTATCTGGTCAATGTCCGTCTTCCAGACTAGACTGGAAAGTTCATGAGGGCAGGAACCTTGTCTACAGGTACACTGGGAGCACCTGGATACATCACCCTATGGATCCTGATGAGTTAGGGAAGGGCAAGTTGCTGGGCACTCTCAGAGCCCAACTCCAAAAGCGTTTCTCACTTGGAGCATTTAGTAAAACAAAAGACAGGGATGGGCTCCAGTAACCACACTAAAACGGAACCAAACCCACTGCCATTGAGTCGATTCCGACTCATACTGACCCCCCCCCCCTTTGAGTTTCCAAGGTGGTAAATCTTTACAGAAGTATATTGCTCAGTCTTCCTTCCACAGAGTGGCTGGTGGGTTTGAACCGCCAACCTTCTGGTTAGCAGTCAAATGCCTTAGGCACTCTGCCACCAGAGCTGCTGAGTAAACCTACCACAGGGTAAAACGTGCTCACTGTTAGAGGACACACAGTGGGGCAAAACACTCTCTGTAGAGAGGTGGCAAGCCTCATGAGAGAGGTATCATGGTCGCTTGATCTGGAAAAAGGGGCAGATTTTGCTGCGTACAGTGCGCGGAGCATCAGTCTGGCTCCTGAGGACTGATGCTCGGAAGCTACAGGTTTCCTATACAGGCTGCCCACTGATAGATTAGTACAATAGGAAGTTTTCAAGAATTACCCCTCTTCAAAGGTAGTTCAAGAAAACATTTTCCCTAGTTCTTAAATTAGGATGAAATCAGTATCTCTCTCACTTCAGTTGTTTTTAAAGAGAAAATTTAAATTTTGGACGTGTAACAAAGCAAGCCTTTAAGGTGTCACTACACGGAGACCTTCCCGTCAACATGCACTCCGGGGCACCCACCGTTGCTGTGTGGCCACGAGTGGGCAGTGGCACTCCTGACCAGCGCCTCGTCCACTCTGCCACCCGTGGGGTTATCCACATACTGCCGGCCCTGCTCCAACGCATTGAAGCACTCTGTCCAGTAATCGTTGTTGTCGGCTTGTACCCGGTCGTAACTCCAGCTGACACTGGGAAGGGGCTGGCGACTGTTAGAGGAAATGTAGTCTAGGAAGCTCAGGGAAGCAAAGGGCTGTGTGTGCTGATTCTGCAGGAGGAGCAGGAGGCTGATGGGCGGCTCCTGGGATTTCCTGGCTCCTTCCAGCTGAGGAAGGAAGGTGGTCTGACATAGCATCAAGCGCCTCTCTGCTGCCTGACCAATATCAGAATTCTTCCCAAAGATGTCCAACTCATCTTCCAGGAAGAGGCCCGAATTATAGCCGAGCTTGCGATTCATGATGGCACTAAAGCCGCAGGTGCAGCGGTACTGGTCCTCGTTGGACGAATCGGGGATGTAGAGTCCCACGTCTGCCCCTTTGATATTCATGTTGCAGGCACAGATGCAACAGCTGTCAAAGTTTCTGTCTTTGAAGATATTCATGACAGAATCGGAGAGAATCAAGGTGACATAGAGGCTGTGGGCTTCGGGAATTGGCTGCATGGTGGCAGGCTCCACAGAGTTCAGGGGCCGTGTGGTGGACGGGGTAGAGGCTGGTGACCCCTGATCTGTGCTGTCATATTTCACAGACCCCTGGCCACTGGCAGTGCCCCCACCTCTGGGAGTTCTTGGGGTCCTGGGGGTGCGAGGTGTGGGGACCGAGAAGCGAGGGGTGGCTGGAGACGGCAGGACTCCTGCCCCACTGTTGCTGGCAGGGGCGGCACTGTTGAGCGTCACTGGTGTGTTCATCTGGGGTGTGTTCAGATAGTCTGGGTCTGCGAGGCTCCCGACACTAGGCACGTTACTGCAACAAAGAGCAGAGCAGCCGGTGAGGAGGAGGCGCCTTCCCGATGCTGGGCCACACCCAGTCCCCCCCACACGTCGCACTGCTTACCATTCGCATGGGTTAGCACCTGCAGTATTCGATTTTCTCTTTAAAAGAGAGAATCCAAAGGAATCAGAGTGTGTGGGAAGAGGCAAGAAGTAAGGCCTTAAGACTAGCTCAGCCCACCTTCCCTCCCACACAGTCCTCACCTACCCAATCCCCACTGCAGCCGCTGGAGGGAAGTTGGACTGTTTCTACAACAACACATGTTGCTAGGTTTGGTCACTGTCATTTTGAAAAGCTGGAACTTCGAAATGGAACTTTCCAACATGCGACTGCGGGTGCTCGAAGAGCAGGGAGCGCCAAGGATCACATTTCCATCTCATTTGCAATTACACTTCTGTCACTGTTTGAAATTGAGAGTCTGCCAGTGTGCGTGTTCCTTGAGGCATCTACGACCCTCCGTAGTTACAATCACATACACATGAAAAGCCAACATTTTCCTAATTTTCAAAATGCAATTGTATCGGGGCTTGTATTTTTATAGTAATGGGTCATCATGAGGGGCTCTATTTTTGGCAACCCATCTGCCAGGACTACAGCACAATTAATACAAATACAACCTACGCTGCCAAGAGGTCTCAGCAGTCATTAGTTGGTGGCAGAAAGGCATACATGCTGCCTCACAGTTTCGAGCTCCTAACAGATTCCTGGGGGTGGGGCATCCCTGGCTCACTGCACCTGTCCTGCTGGCTAGGGTCACCTACAGCGTGCTTCCTTCTCACTCCCAGACGCTCAATGGCTGTGTTCTCTCTCGTCTCGTCAGCAGTGCCATCTCTTTGGAAGAGTCAGGCACCAACGAGCGGCTACCACGCTCGACTGCTTTATTTCTGTCAAACACTCTGTGGCAGTGTCCCAGGACGGACACGTGAGGAGCACGTGAGCCCATTCTCCCCACTTAGGAGAATCCAAGGCACACAGATGCTGTATTTTCTCATTCTGAATGTTCTTCTGATACATATTATTAAGGTGCCTGAACCGACCTGCTGCCAGTGGACTCCCTATTCACCCGCTGGTAACTTGAGAGAAGAATGTCAGAAAGCAGTGACTCTTCAAATAAAGTTCTTTGTGACTTTTAATTAGCTCAACCACTAGCTGGAACATCCAAATCAGATGCTGTAAAAAGTTTTCAATTTGAAACATGGTGGTATCTTTGAATGCAGATACAAAATGTCCCAGAAACCTTGATTGGCAATCAGTGCTCTCATAGAAACCAAAATAGTAAGTGTGTAATAAGGATCTTTACTCTAATTGGACTCCTTTCAAGCTTCCCCGTTCAACGAAATCCTAAAAGTATTATGCTGTTCAGATCAGAAAAAGAAGTAGAACTACTGACTGAATACTTCAACGCCTACCTTGCTGCCAGGTAGGAAGAACGGCTTACCTCCTGTAAGCCCTACCTTTGCCCCATTCACTAACGATGAACTGGGTCCCAACCCCAAGCTAGATGCCGGGGATTTAGCAGAAAAAAAGAGAAAGATTCACAGACAAGGATCAGAATCATGACGTGACTGCAGGTGTGTGCGTCATGGCGTCACCCCGGACCGATGGAGACCACAGCCAGGACTTCACATGGTCTACAGCTGTGTTGTCACAGCAAAAATCACAAAGCCGAGCTCCTCAAAGCCGCTCCAGAGGAGGCACAACACGTCGGGGGCCCTGATGGTTGATGGGCAAGTTACTTGGTTGCTAGGGTGGTGGTCTGAACCCAGCCAGAGGCTATGTGGGAGAAAGACCCGACAGTCTGCTCCCACACAGATTACAGTTGAGAGAATCCTCTGAGGCAGTTCTCCTCCAGCACGTGGGGTCACCTCGAGTCAGGATCAACGTGACAGCACTGGGGTACAAACATGCAGCTCACATTCTGGATGTGGACCACAGACCTGTCTCATTTGTTTCTAAAGTTTACCTCTGAGTTAGCCACCCACACTGTAAGAAAGGTAAAGTTCCATGAAAATGCAGCTTTTCTGCCTCCCTTGAAAGGGAAAGCTCTGACCACAACAAACCCACACTCCGGCCTGACAATGATTTGCTACGGCTGAATACAAGTGTCCCCTTAAAGGGCCCGCCCCTTACAGTTCCTCAGAGACCTCACTCCTCCTGCTGCCCACCCCGCCATCACCCCAAGACACTGAGTATCAGCAGGGTCTGCCCTTTTCCTTCACTCTGTCCATTTTAACCACATACACCGCTCTCCTGGCCAGGACAGAAATCTTACTTGGTGGCCTTTCGTTGTATAGCATTTCACTTACTTTCATTAAGAAATCATTAATCATAGGCAAACTGATTCTACATTGTTGATCTCCATATTATGTTTCTGGATAGTATGAAATACAGGCAATTCCTGGATTAAGAATGAGTTCTGCTCCTAAGTCTGTCTTTAAGGTGGAATGTGTACCTCAAGGTGAATGTGTATTCTGGATGTGGAACAATTGGAACAATTCGGTATGGTTCGCATCTAAGATCAGTTAGTCAAATATCTCTCTTAATATATAGTACCTTTCTATGCATAAAACAAACTCTGGTAGCGTAGGGCACTTGACTGCTAACCAGAAGGCTGGCGGTTCAAACGCACCAGCCACTCCTCGGAAGGAAGATGGGGCAATCTACTTCTGTAGTGATACTGCCTCGGAAACCCAAGAAGGGGTTGCTATGAGTCGGGTTGACTCAACGGCACGTAACAACAACAACATGCATAAAACACATTAAAGAAACACTTCCATACAGACAACAAATATGAACCCTTTTGCACATACAGTACTGAGTTCTCCGTGAAGGCAAACATGGGTATATGGATGGATAGATAGGTGGACAGGCTAAACGATTAGGTATGTCTATGAAATAGGGAGTGTATCCAAGATCATATATAGGGTTGGCAGACAATGGTCCTATAAGTTCATGTGAATGATCAGAATTTCCAGGTGTATAGTAGAGCTGACAAGGGGCAAGGTTGTGGTCACTGCTTGGTCACAGCCAGCTACCCAGAGGGACTGAGTAGTTGAACCTGCGGGCTTGGGACCATAGTCTCAGGGGACATCAAGCTCAATTGGCATAACATACTATACAAAACATTGTTCCACCTCCTACTTTGATGAGTAGCGACTGGGATCTTAAAAGCTAACAACCTGCCATCTAGATGCAACAATGGGTCTCTCCTCGTCAAGAGCAAAGAAAAAATAAGAAAACCAAAATTAATGGAAATAATCAGTCCTAGCGACTGGTACACCATCCAATCTGCAACCTATACAACTATGAGACCAGAAGAATTAGATGGTGCCTGGCTACCACTATCATCCACTTGGAAGGGATGTAGGAGATCCTGGATAGAGAGGGAGAACAATGTGGAACAACACTCAAATCGTTTGAAGGGAAAAAAAAAAAGATGGTTGGGACCAGGATTGCTGGTCCAATAGAGCCTGGTGGAACCACTGAGACTATGGCCCCTAGCTGCCCTTCAGGTCTGGAACTGAACCCACACCTGTGGTTTCCAGCCAAATAAATTTCAGGCATGTGAGTTAAACATTTACCTCAAGTAGACACACGCCCTGGAGAGAACAATCATGGGAGAAGGAAAGGCTGCTTATGCACAGGAAGACAGCTCAGGGCGCAGGAGAGTATGGAGGAATGGACACTGGGAAGTGGTAACTATGGGGAGGAAGTGGGAGGGGAGCTGTTGCATTGTGGTAAGCTGTGGTCAATGACACACAAAGTATATGTGAACTGCTTATAGAACGTGAATTTGCTCTGTAAATCTTCACCCAAATCACATTAAAAAAAAACTAAAAAAATAAAGAAACACTTCCAGCTATGTTAATGCATCTTTAACCTAACACGGTAACAATAATAATGAAGTTTTGATGCACGTCCCAAAGTAATGTGTTTTGTTACTGTATGCACCTAGAATCTTTAATATAAAACCTTTTACAGAGACTGGTTCACAGCTACAGATTGTATGTAAGTTGGACTTTAGTTACTCAGGGGCTGCCTCTAAGTCCTAAAGACTGTAAAAACCTTTTTTTTTTTCCTCCAAAACCCTACTTACATGACATGAATTCAGTAAGAGAAAAATATCTATGTCAGTACTTGATTTTAAAATATCCACTTACATAAATGAAGTGTTTACCACCACCCCAAAAAGGGCGGCACTCAGCTTACCAACCACACATAGGTGCTTAACTCTGTGGGCGCCGTAGACGGTACAATGAATGAGCACAGACAACTAGGTCTCCACACAGGACCTTAATTTTTCCAAACACAGGACATTTGGTTTGGGAAAAAAATGCACATTTTCAACACAAAATACAGTACACAAAAAGATGAACTGCCAATAAAGGAAAGTTTCAAAACACATACTACTGTCCTAACTTCTAAGAAGTATTTAGTGAAAATACAGCTCACATTCCACACAGCCCGTAAGCTGACCCAACCCCGTACGTACTTGTAGCCATCTCTAATGAAAGTGGCTGCGGGTGGCATGGGCAGTTGTTCAATTTTAGGAGGAATTGCCCACGAAGGCCGAAACAGACAGGCATCGGGTATCTTCAGAGGTAGCAGGCACTGGCTTGGCAGCATCTTCAGTGGCGCAAATGTGGAGGACCCCACGAAAGGCTGAAAGGTGGGAACTTTATGCACGTATGAAAAGTCCTGTGACCAAAAGGAAGCTTGGCGTTAATGCTGGTAAGCTATCGGCTAGTTGCTAAACTATTTAAACTACCCATAGGAACTTAGCAATCCACAGTCACATAGCACTACTGCAAGAATAAGGGGGGAAAAGATTGTAATTCAGTATTTCTCTTACCTGATCAGTGAAAAAACAAAGCAAGCCAAAGTTATAAACAGAAAGACCCCTATTTAACACATCAGGTTAGGTACCAGTAAACCCCACCACGCCCTCTTGCCATCAAGTCGATTCCGACTCCCAGCGCCCCCATGCGACAGAGCAGAAATGCCCCAGGGTCCCCACGGCGGTTTCCAGCAGATCACCAGCTGTTCTCTCTCAGAGCTGCTGGTGGATTCAAACCACCAGCCTTCCGTTCGCAGCCAAAAGCCTTTTTTCAGTCACTGTGCCACCAGGGCTCCTTAAGGGATGAACATCACGATGCAATACGAAGGATGCTTAGGCCTGCTCTGTGTGTGGCTCACACATCATGTCATGAGTGTGAATCCACCTGGAAAGCCTTCTGCCCTGGGAACACCCATCCACTGCCATCTACCTTGACCTCCTCGGGCTTGGGGCTTCCTAAGCCGTCTTCCACTTCCATCTTGAATTCTGTGAGCTGTGTGGACACCATGCTGACCATGGGGCTCTCCATCATGCCTAATGCTGTCACCGTCTCTGAACTGACTCCATCCTTGTAACTCATCACAGGAGAAAAAGCGGGGTGCTGTTCCAAAGACGGCGGGGTGGGAAACATTCTCTGCAGATCTGCAACTGCTGGAAAAAAAACACTGGCTCTTTTAACAGGTAGAGCTTTGGAAAAATCCCAGTTCACGGTCAGTTGGCACCCAGAAAGAATGCTAACTGAGTGGTCCTATCAGCTACACAGTAGAACAGTGACCACGGAGCCTCTGAGAAGGCCATCGGCAGAAACCTGTCCTTTTCCAGAATTTCACCCATTATCTTCTTGAGGCTCTAGGGTCTGACCTCACATTAATTAGAGAACAAAATCTATGTAACATATGTTCTTTCTTCCAACAACTGGTTGGCAAGGCTAAGGGGAGGAACTATGTAGAAACTGAAAGAACGAGATGGAGTAACCACTTTAATAAAGTTTTACCCCTCCTTACAGTTAAGAACAAAATCTTTCAGAATTGCATAACTAATGTTACGGAGAGTATATTACTCAGGAAATCCATTGACAACCACCTCAGGCATTTAAGTTACAGACAACGAGCACTGTCTGAAGCACCTGTGGTGCCTGGATGCAGCAGGATCACTCAGACAGGTGACAGTCACTACACATAGCTGTTGTTTGGGGGAAATTCTCAGATTGACATTAAATGAAGCTTCATATTTAGAATTAATAATCCCACCTAGATCTGAAAGACCATTTATTGAAAACCAAATAAAAAAAAA